CCATGAAATTTGGATTTCTCGAGGTCGATTACCTGGGAAACCGTCTTTTTCTGGAGAACTTACGTCAATTTTGAGACCAAAGAGAAATAATGGAGGGGGGTACTGTCCCCCTCTTTAGGGGGTCATTTTTGGGCCTTGGATGGTCCGATTTTGGATTTTTAGGGGTCAATTCCACGTGAAATTTTCCGTGCTTTTCAATTCTGATGCGATTTACCCGCAATTCGGTCGGGAACCGTGACTTTTAGCATCGTAACCCCCCTTACCCCCCCAAGGGGGGGTGGGGGGGTTTTGGGACCACAAAATTCGGATTCCTTGGGGTCAATTCCCTATTCAACCCCGCGGTCTCCGACTTCGTACGACCTATACCAACCGAGAAAAAGGCCTGGTACGGGTGGTCTGAAACACCCTGTATACGATGGCATTCTCAAAAAGATTTACGGTTATATTGTTCTTCGGTATATAGAATTTATATATATCGTACTATATCTTACCCATCAGAATGTAAGTTATTTTGGAATTCTGTGGAAATGAAGAAAAAAAAAGCCCAAGAAGAAAACGGAAAGGCAGGGTCTGATTGTATTATTTCAGGCAAATTCATGGTACCGAAGTGATATATCAGAAACTATATTGCTTTAGTATGCGTCTGTAATACTTTGATCTGAATACACGTAAAAGACCTCTCACGACGATTTCAACTTAAGGAGGTTTTACAGGGACTCGCATAAAAGTAAAATATTACCTATGCCGTCCTCATAACGTTTCCAACCGCGCACCAACCGCGCACCAACCGCGCACCAACCGCCCGTAGATCCTGCCTGAGTTCCTCCAGCAAATAGTATCTTTTCATCTCCTACCTAGCTATTCCATCAATCTACGATTCGGCAGAGGCAAAAGCGTCACCTCCAGTTTTTACATCCAAACTTTCTACGCACTGATACTTTTTACCTAACATACTCTTTTTTCCGCAGTTATAAAAGTGGTGCTCTACTAAAACTGATCGAGTCAAGTTCATTCGTAGTGGATGTTCAGGTGGACCACTCACTCTGTATTCAATCCGCCACGCCAACTCAGAACTGTATTCAAGTGACGACTATTATTCTGGTCAACGATAAAGAGTACGTGATAAAACACGACGGTAAGCTGTAGTATTAATCATTATGAATTGGATAAAGAAAAGTTTATTGTTCATAACAGATCATCTTATGAGGCATGACTAACATGCACTATGTAAAATAACCGAGGTAGTATAGAAATTTATGGAATTTATTCATTCAAAATCCACAAAATCTCCCCCTCTCTCCTGGTTATTTCCCATCTTGTTATACCTGAACCGGATGGACCTCTTGATTTGCCTCAGCTAAAGGCTCTTAGAATTTTCCTGTGTACGATAAGTATCTTGATTTATTTTGCGAGGAAAGATCTATACTTTTTAACGATGCCTGTCATTCTTAATACGTTCAATTTCGTATGATAGTGTGCAACACCTCTGTTGTGAAATAGTTGCCTCAAGCGCCGCGCCGCCGCACGGTGGGCGGGCGGCCAGCGCGTATCGCGCATTGGCGCCTACAAACCTAAGTGGATACTTCAAGCATTGTGCAATGCGAGAAGTATCCACTTAGGTTTGTAGGCACCAGTGAGCCTCTCACGCTGGCAGCACGCGCGCCGCTCCGCTCTGTTAGGATCTAATATTTATACTCGCATAGTCAGCGTTTTTTAACTGATGATTTTGAAATGTTTGCACACTCTGTATTGATTATTCTCATTTAAATTGATGAATAAAAAATGAAAAATGTATCAATTTATTAAAGGAGAGTAATAATATAATGTGCTTTTTAAATATTGGTGGTTCCGTGTCAAATTTAATGATTTCCAAAGCATTTTAATTTTTTCTTTTACATTTTGTGCTTTTACTGTGCTGCAGCGAGGTGTACGCGCAACCAAACGCTCAAAATTTGACGTATTTGACTCTAAAAGATCGATGTACAAATGGGTTAAAAGTAAAGATTGCGTGCTTCTTGGTTTTTTCCTCTTTTATTCACTTTTGCAGTTTCTTTCGGCACAACTGCGGCTCATTGAGATTAATATCGATGCCATCGCTTGGAAAAGGTTTTACAAATATGTGTGACGTTTTAAAAATATAAATGTTTATAAAATGAAGTAATAATTTCGTAAAAAAAATAAAAATAAGTACCTATACATATATAAGGTATATTGTACATCGAATATTTTTAAGGATAGAAATAAAACTATGTATTCACCAATGACAATTTAAAAAGATGAATCAAAAGGAGAAAGTAATATTTCATTTAGAAAATGAGCAACCATAACAAAAACTCCTTCTCTCTCAATTTCATATTGTTAATACAATTTTACATACCGACTAAAATATAACGCTTGGACCAAGTCACTGTTGCTTATTTTACGTGTGGGCGTAAACTACTGGACAAAAAAGGTGCACGGACAAAAAATCTTTGACAAAATGTCCTGAAAACAAAAATGATGTGTAATTTCAAGAAAAGCATGGAATAAAACATTTTACGAAGAACAATATTTTTTTTAAAAAAAATAATCTCATTGCATTGTATTTGCATTTCATGTTTTCAGTAAACGGCACATTTAAAGTATACACTGCAGAGACAGAGCACCCAGTACCATGCAAATTCGATGGATTTGAAGCTAAGAAATTATCAGCAAATGCTTTTGTAGTCAATACAAATGAAGATACCTTATCCATTCAAGGAACAAATAAAGTATGTATTACGTTTGCATTATTTGTCACAGGTTTGGCAATCAGTGTTTCCTACTTTTGGCGATAGTAGCTTTTTTCTTTAGTGAATGGCGGTGGTGAACTTCGCGATTAGCTTCGGTTTCCTAAATGAGTCCATAATACTGTAATGATTTCATTGCTTTGGTTTCTTTTTGTCAACTCACTTTGACGTAAATAGGGCACAAGCAATTTAAAAATAAGGCACACTAATGTATACTCTTTATTATTATAAAATTATAAATCACGCCACTTTTAATTTGTGCTTATAAACGGGTGTCCAAGGAGGCATTCTAAAGACGACAAGATTGAACCATTATCTAATACACCTTACTTTTTCTTGTTCCTGAGTTTTCGTATTTTTTATCTTCCTCTATGGAGGAAAAAAAATGATATCACCCTTTACATATTGGAACAAGATACACAGTTCTCATGATTCAAAAATTCTGGAACAGTTATTTCCAATTCTCTTAAAATCTGTTGCATTTCTGCGGGGAATTTTCTTTAGATCTACTGACAGTATATGCTGCATTGAAGTCACTAAATCCGTACGTTAAATTGTTGAGCCGTATTCCCGTGCATAAAATTTAGCCCACACTTATATTCTTGCACATTACAGTTTTACTCATTTACACTTTACACCTATGCCGAAGGAAGCTCAAATGAAGAAGTGTCGGGTGGTTTTTTAGTAACCTATAAAAGCACTGGTACCTAAACATTAACATCATTTACTGAATACCCTATCTCAATAATTGGCGTGTTTCCTTCTTGGATATTTCAACTTGATGTCAAAGTATATTTTGGCGCTGATGTTAAGAGGAGTATAAATTGTGAAAACAAAAATAACTGGATGACAATATTTGCAGGGGATTATAAAAGTAACGGTTCAAAAATTGAACGTGAAACCTGTGAGTGGTTTATGCGGAAATCTGGACGGAAACCCAGAAAACGATGTGGCGGCCTCTGATGTGAAATCTTTCGTCAAGAAATGTGAGGAGGGTCGTATTTTTTCGTTCATAAAAAAATGGAAAAATATTCTGTTCTCAGGTAAGAGTTTTTTTATTCTTTGGTTGATCCTACGAGTAAACTGAAAAGAATGTATAGTGAGTAAAAAAATGCTATCCATAAAAGTATAGGAACTGCAAACTCGGAGAAAACTATCTAAGAGAAAACATGCTTTCTACCTTAAGTAGAGAATATGAAATGAAGTAACTACGTTGCGTTGGTATCACTAAACTGCCAATAACATGGCCAGCTGGGATCACACTTGGGTAAAACCGCTCAGAAATAATTAAAAACCATGCCAAAGAATGTGGACTAGCAAAAATTTATACATTCATATCAGAGTCAAAGCCCTTGTAGAGTTTTCAGCAAAAATGGTGCACTGCACTCCAAATAATTTTACTTCTCTTACTCCGCGAATTGGAATGATCGCGGGCCACAAAAGGCGCGTCCGTCCGTGTGCTCGCGTCTTACGTAGCGCCTTCAAAACCAAAGAAATACCGTCAATGCTACACCGTCATACATATATGCCGATGTGCAAGTTGCCTACACTGCACCTGCCGGTGTGTACAGCACCCGCGATCCACGGATCGGGCGATCGAGCACGATATGACTTATCTCAGACTCGTCGTGAAGGGAGAAGAGGGCTGGTTCCAAAACCGCCCAAAACAGGACTATATGATTTCTTTGAAAATTAACGTATTTTATTGGCATTTCTCTTTGGTGCATAGTGTTCTTTATTTTTCCAAGTTATTAATTTTATTTAATTTTGCAGAGGGAAAAATCACAGCGACTGTGTTTTCCGAGGCAGCCATTAAAGACTCATTCTGTTACGCTTTGAAACAAAATCCGAAGTTTGCTGAATGCAGAAAAGTGAGTAATCCATCATGATTTTTTAAAATTAATTCTATCAGTTGGTGATCATAGCCATGATGACGTAGTGTAGTGTATTGTGCCAATGTAAACATTATAGTACTTTAGTGAGGGAAGAGACAAAATTATTACATTATGAAAATGTAACAACCTACGTCTGTAGATTTATGACTCATTACATATGTTATTTAAGTTACTATTTAACAACCAGATCCGCAAGAAGTAGATACACGTCTTGAAAGTGTTTAATCAAATGTTGACTTATGTCATCCAAAAAATAAAGGAGAAAAAATGGCGGGGAAAATGCATTGATTAACTACCGATATCAAAGAAAATGCATGCGCATGTAAGGATACTAGAATGAAACGTCTAACAATTAGATCTACGCCAGGCCGAAGATACGAACAAGGAAATAAGACCGTTATAATAATGACCTTACCACTAGGCGATAACCAGCGTGGGTCACTGATGATTTTATTTGAAGCTCTTATTTTCCAGCATGTAAAGTAATTCTTTTTTAAACTGACTCATCTTGAAGTTGTTTCAAATGAATGATGTACCTGCAACATTTTTTGTCTTTCAGAAAATGGGACCCAATGTAGTTGAAGCCTACTTTGAGGCATGCATGGGTGATTACCTGAGCTGTCCGTTAGAGAATAAACAAGACTGTGGTTGCACCACGATTGAGGTGCTAACCGAAATCTGTGGGAGGATGAACGCTCCTGTGGAGAAATGGAGGCAATCGAATTTCTGCCGTGAGTATAAAATCTACACTCCTCGTAAAAGTGGACGAACGAAAAACGAAAATGGAAAATAGTACGAGAAAGAGACAATCGAAACACTTGAGGCGGTTGCCAATCACGATGAAGTGAGAGCAAAGCGTTTATCGCTATTGGCAGGAGCCAATATCACCATGCGGTGCGTCTTGCGCTGCGGTAGTAGCCAATCACCATGAAGTGAGAGCAAAGCGTTTTGCGCTCTTGGCAGGAGCCAATCACCATCCAGTAGCAGTCGTACGTCTTGCGCTCTTCCCCCCATTGGCTGCCGCACATATTATTCTATGGCCGCACCTGCCCGCCGCCGGGGCTATATCACCAGCAGCTCCTGGCCCATCCAATTCCCTGGATGGTGATTGGCTATTGCTACACTCTGCGTGTCTCGTGATCGCACGTGCCCCTGAAAATAGGTCGTCTACGTCCAGTCGCACATCAATGGAAACTTAGGCCGTGTCTCCACGGGATGTTTCAAGGGATTTGTCCCTGGGAAAAATCCCACTTACGAAGTTAGGAAAAATATTGAGTTAATCAATATTTTTACCAGTACCACGTATGGTCCTTGTAGCCCTAGGACCCACTGAGAGAGGAAGAAGAAGGGAAAACAAATCGTGCGATATTTTATTCATTACTCCATTGTTAATGTTGGTTTAGTTCAAATAATGTGTTTAATTGTCAATCGAGTGCAATTATTATTTTAATGCCGGTTAAATACTCGACTTTAACTAAATTATCTTCCCGCGCAAACTAGTCGCAGGACCGGATGAGCCTCGTCCCGTGGAGACGGTAATTGGGAAAAATCCAAGAAGTTGCATTCCTGCGATTCGAACTTGGGACAAATCCCATGAAAACGTCCCGCGGAGACAAGGCCTTACAGAAAAATACGTACCTCCCTCACCGGGTCTTAAAGCTTGTATTTGCAGCCATTTCATTTTTTGAATGTAAGAAAATAATGTGACAGGAAATTTGCATTGCATCTCACATTATAAAACACATTTGTATGAAATAGATGAATCGGCCAAAGTGTATTTCACGTTGCCTAATTTTCACTCGTGTTATAGTTATATGTTTCTATCAGCGGGCCGATTATTGAAGTTGATAGACAAAGTTATAGACAAAGGAGACAAAAGGGGTGTGGAGGGATCCTGTTGGTGGAAGTGGGTGGTTGCAATGGACAAAGGCAGACAACCCACGAGAAACCCGACAATTATTAGTCCATCATTTTCTCCCTTAGTCTATGGGAACCACACATTTCAACCAATAGGATCGCTCCATACTTCCTGTGTCCTTTTTGTCCATAGCTTTGTCTATCAATTTCAATAATCAACCCGCAGAGAACGTAACTACGTAACGTTTTACATGTTTTTGTAAAACCGTAGACTTTAAAGAATATACACAAAATGTTAAGATTTTGTGTTGTCTAGTTTTCTATTTAAAGAATAAAAAATTAGAGAAAATTAGGCAACACCTCATGTGGCTACATTATATATATATATATATGAGTCGCTTTTATAGCGCTCTTTGGCGCTGTGCGACGCCTAATCGCCACAAAGCTCGGTCTTCCCACAGGTCATCAGGGAGTTGACAATCTCTTATCTCATTTAACACCCCCTGTCGCCAACCTCTCACTGGGCGTCCCCTACGTCTCCTCCCAGGAGGAACCCAATCAAGCATCTTTTTTGGCAGCCTCTCTTCCGTCATCCTATTGACATGACCATACCAAACAAGTTGTTTGGTCATGACGTCGAACACGATGTCATTTTCGACTTCCATTATCTGACGCACTCTATCATTACGGACCCGATCTCTCCTAGAAATTCCTGCTGACCTTCTCCAGAAATCCATCTCCGTTGCTCTTAGCATATCCTGTGTCCGTTTCTTCAGCTGCCAAACTTCACATCCGTATGTTAATATACTTTTGACTACAGCGTTGTATATCCTCCTCTTGTTATCTTTGGAAATCCGCTGATCCCAGAGGATTCCATTTAACATCGCTATAGCCTTCCTTGCTAAGGTGTTCCTTTCCCTGATAGCTTGATCCGTCCTTCCATCCTGGGTCAACCGCACTCCCAAGTACTTAAAGTGCTCGCAGCCTTTGATCTGCTGCCCATCCTCCAACTCAATGCTTTGCTGATCACCGCCAAAAGTCATCTTCTCAGATTTGGATATGCTGACTTCCAGACCCCACTTCCGATACTCTTCTACTAGCTTGCGCATCATGTATTCCGCGTCATCTTGATCTTGAGCAACCACCACCTGGTCATCAGCAAAGCACAGAGTAAACAGAGTTTCGAGATCACCCAAGGGGACACCCATACCAGAGCATTTCTTTTTCCATTCTTTTAGCACGCACTCGAGATAAATTTTAAATAATGTTGGCGACAAACAACATCCCTGTTTTAAACCCTTAGTCACATAAAATCCCGCTGACAACCCCCCATGGCACTTAACTTTGGTAAAACTCCCTTTATAAAATCGCTTAACAGCGTCAATCAACCCCCCGTTAAAATTCGATTTTTCCAAGGCCTCCCAAAGTTTCACCAACGGCACGCTGTCATACGCCTTCTGGAGATCCACAAAAATTAAATGCAGTTCCTGAGCTACGGCCATTTTCTTCTCAATGACCTGGACAATAACAAAGAGGTGATCTATCGTAGACCTGCCAGCTCTAAAACCAGCCTGCTCCTCTGCTTCGTGATCCTGCCATTCGTCCTCGATCTTCGCTTTCAGTATCTTCCCGTACACTTTGCTTATTGTCCCGGTCACTGAGAGCCCCCGGTAGTTGTTACAGTCGTCCTTCCTTCCCTTCTTTTTGTAGATGGCCTTGATCCAAGACTCCTTCCACTCCCTTGGTACCTCGTCACCCCTGATGCATTGTTGCATCAGTTTTCTGAGGCACTCAAAGAGCTTGGCAGTCCCGTACTTGACCAACTCGACAGGAATCCCACCAGGACCCGGTGCTTTGTCATTAATTAGCTCTTTAACCGCTTTAATTATGTCACAAGTGTGGATCTCCAAGTTGTTCATTCTTCCGTTGTCCGTGCTGTTGTCTCGAAACTCTGGGCGCCTTTCCGTCAAAAGATCTTTAAAATGATCCTCCAGTTTTTTAAGTGATATCGGAGAAACGATGTCGCGCTTCATGTCTCTACGTAAACCTTTAATCAACTTCCAGCTCTCAGCACTTTTTCTCCCCCCTAGGTAGGTGTTAATTCTAGAACAGTTGCTTTCCCAAGCTTCATTCTTCTTCCGTGTTATGAGGCTCCTAACTTTAGACTGAGCTTTCCTGTAAGCAACTTTATCTTCAGTCTTTTTAGACGACAGAAATATAAGGTGTTTTTGCCTCTTAAGATTTATCTCGTCTTCAATTTCTTCATCCCACCAGTAAGGATGCTGGTATTTATTACTGGTTTTGTGAACACCTAGGGCTTCTTTCGCTGCAGAGTGGATACAATCTTTGATGAACTGATATTGCTCTTCCGTGGTACCCGAGAGTCCATCCCCCAGCTTCTCATCTAAGCGTTTCCGATACAGAGCCTTGACACTAGGGTGCTCCAAACTTTCGATGTTATACCATACTTCATGATTTTGCGTTCCCTGACTCTGCTGTTGCTCAGGCATTGGCTCTTTATCTTTAATCCCTTTAACGGGAAACGCTATATCTGCTCGGAGGAAATGATGATCACTGCCGCAAGAGAGTCCCCTGCACACTCTAACTTGCTGCAATTTCAACTTAGTAGTGTGCTTTACAATTACATAATCGATGATGGATTTCAATCCTCGCGTTGGCTGGACCCAGGTATACTTATGGATGTCTTTGTGTTGAAAAAAGCCATTCAAAATTTTCATCTCAGTTTGAGAACAAATTGAGATGAGCCGATCACCGTTATCATTAACAGCATCCTCCCCAAACGGTCCAACAACTTTACAGTTTACTCGTCGTCCCGTTCTGCTGTTCAAATCACCCATAAGAATGGCTTCCCTGCCAGCACCAACGTTCAGTATTTCATCATTCAGATCTTCGAAGAATTGGTCCTTACATGCGACAGTGGCATCATCATTTACACCGTATACTCCGAGCAGCGGCTACATTATATTCCTAATGCAAAGTTTTCGAGAAAGCACGCTTTAATGCATTACGATACCTTCCAAATTAAATTGTTTAGCTCTAGAATGCGGGGGAAGACTTTACAGTTCCTGTGCTCCAGCTCATCAACCCACCTGCCGGGACGCTTTAGTTCTGCCCACCATTCCCGAGGCGTCGGGTGATGAGTGCCAAGAGGGATGCATCTGCCCCTCTGGAACTTTCCTGCATAACGGTTCATGCATCGCTGCAGACAAATGCCCATGTCTACGGATGGGCAAAGAGTACGATTCCGGCGACACATTTACCGAAAACTGTAACACTTGGTGAGTTTGATTTCATGTCCCGCGCCGATTCTCATTGTGATGTTAAGAAACGTCAACTAATTCGATTTTACTCAAATTTGTTTGATTAAAATCTGCTTAATTGACTTTTCCTCGTGTGTGCCTATACTACCATGCTACGGAAAACCGCCGAAAGAACTTCGTATGTCAATTGTGAAAATTCTTTCGATAAAATATTTTTGAGGAAAGTTGTGAATATTTTTTCTTGCAATTTTCAGAGCCGTCATAGATTGATTCGCAAACAAAATTCTCTGAAAAGATATAAGAAATGAAAATTTTAATTGAACAAATTAAATAATACATAAGCGAGCCACAATGGGAAGACATTCTGAACCTTAATGCGTGTGCGTGTGTGCAAAATAAGGATATTGTAGTGTCAATCCATCCTCTTTATATAGGACCTTCAGAAATTGAAAATTCGCTCGTTTTTGGGGTTTTCAATTTTGTTCCAATTCAGACCCAAGTATATGTGAGGCATGTGAGGGTGTGCCTGAGTGTATGTGGAGGGGGGGGGGGTAATTTTTTTGAAGACAGGCTAGGACTTTAGGCACTTCGAAATCTTCAAAGGCGCATAACGCCCATATTGTGACACCTCGTCCGAGAACCTTGTTTTTAATTGGTTAATCGTTACCCATATTGTTTCCCTTTTAATTCTAGCACCTGTCAAGCCGGAGAATGGCACTGCACGTCAAAAGTTTGTAGCGCGGAGTGTTCAGGGTTCGGAACATTCCATTACCGAACATTTGATAAATCTCACATTACTTACAATGGATTCTGCTCATACACCTTGATGAAAACAGAAAATGTGTCTATTTACAGCATATGTGACAAAAAGGTGCGCATTTTTCTAGTAACATCATTTCCAAATAATAAAAAATGTGCTCTAAAATATTTGAACGAAAGTAGACAACATTCAAGCATTAACCGAATATCCCATCGATGTTTGACAACAGAAAAATGAATTAGAGAACCCATTTAAGTCATTCTACATAATTCTTGGATTTAGTCACCGAGCTTTTACGGTACGGATAATGCCGGAAACGCTTCTCCTTTGCAAAAGTGACTGAAGGTAAAATTGTTTTAAAAAATGCAATAATATGACATAATGTAGAAGAACGTTTATGGGAACAGTTGGTTATGCCAATATATTTACAGTTTATATTGATTTTGGAAAAAAAAATTCTAAGAAGAAAAACCTCATTTTGGCCAATAAAAAGACGTCTGAAATGCTTGCTTTACCCCTAACTCAAGTTGTAGAGATAATGTGTGCCACCATTTCTTGGTGTTTCTGGGAATCTGCGGACGTATCGCATTTTGACATCATCACCATTGATTAACACCATTTCATTACGATTGACTATACACCAGTAATCTCTTAATTGACTTATGGCGTGGCGTGCTTTGTAATATATCGATTGACCTGCTATTTAAACTTATGGAGGAAGATCAATAAGCAGGGTGTTCGCAACGAACACCTTAACAATCGATCCTTTACCATAGCTCTAAATGGGGACAGTGGTGTGGTGTGAATTGCGATATATCGATTGATATGTAATTTAAACCTATGGTAAAGAATCGATAATCAAGGTTTTCGCTGCAAACACCCTTCGCATCGATCCTTTTCCATAGGTTTAAATGGCATAACAATCGATATATCACAAAACATGCCACGCCACTGAATAGGGAAATATCAAAAATCGATCATTCACGCCTTGCGCTGTGGTTGACGTCACTTATTTTGTTTAAAAGAGACTTATAGCTGTGAATGAAAGCTCTAGCAAATAATCCTGTTTACATCATCCTCAGTTCCTCAGTAACTGCATTGGTTGAGAAAATTTAAATTGGCATGGCAGTCCGCTGTAGAGATATCTGGTTCCAATAATGTTATTTTCTTTCCTCTATTCAAATTTAGTTTGGAAATTCACCGATGCAACCGTCAACTTGTGCCAGACACATCCTCATCGAAATGCCTGAAAATCGTATCGAGCTAAGGGAGAAAAGAAATGTTGTAGTTGACAATTTGTTTCAAGATAACTTACCAATCAATGTGAAAAATCTTGCGACCATTAGAATAGCATCGTCTATGTTCATTCAAGGTAAACTTATGTTCTTGATATTTCTTAATATGATAAACAGTGAAATACGTCAAAATATTATTTCATCCGACATAAAAACTTGATTTTCAAGTTTACTGAAGTTCTGTGGCCACGTGAGATCGGTCGCTTTTGCAATTAAGCGGCCACTCACGACACACTGATGTAACAATATTTGTGTTCTTGTGTTACTTTCAAATAATATAAGACGTGAAACACAAACCAAAACAAATTTTTTGTTGAACTATGTCCAATTTGCGGTGAATTTAGCGTAGAAAATATTGGAGAGACTGGGATAACGCATTCCTCCGATCGTAACGTTACGATTTAACGTTACGATTAACAACTCGTTTTTATTAAATTTCCGCAAGAAAACACCTTCACATTTTTTCTTGAAATTTGCAACCGAAGGCTAGGGTTATTTTGTGTTGTACGTCCCGTATCAACAAAACTTTTGTGTTGAAGCTGTGAAACTATGAAAAAATTGTGAAAAGCTCAGCCACATTTTCATACAAAAAGTCAAACTTTCAAAATATCCAATTTATTACCAAATTGTGACAATTTCTCAAAAGCATAATCTTTGTGCAACTGCCTGTATCAGAATATATTCCAACTAAAACAGATCAATGGTTAAGGAACAACATCGCCTAACTGACAATGTTGGAGAAATTGAGCCAGCAACTTTACCACATTCCACAGTAAAAAATACGGAGGCTGATGTTCATAATTTTCCCAATTTTACACGGGAGGCTGTGATGACGTTATAACATATAAAAAAATTGCAAGCCTAATCTTAAAAGTACAAAAATGGCGAACTTTTCCCCACGTCAAGTGAAATCGTCGTTTGCATATGAGCATAGTATTGTTCCTTAGCCATCGACATGCTACAAGATTTCAAGCCCTCCTCCTTCTTTCGCTCATTTATTTCGTTCATTTTATTAATCTAACTTACATCTAACTTGTTCAATCAGTGCGACTGTGGAACAGTGTGGAGGTAAATTGGGACGGCCATTCGTTATTCAGCATCTACGTTCCCGGAGGTCTTCAAAATCAAACGAAGGTATGACTACATACACGCTTGTTTCCATATGCATCTCTTTCATTAATTATCTTACTTGAAGCGCCGTGCATGAAAAACTTCACGGATTGTTGATTTGTTTCTCTTCAAAAAACAAGATCAGCGGGGAGATTTTAAAACACTGCAAACGATAAACGTGGTTTAGGAATTTCACCGTCGAAATGTGCAAGCTTTTTAAGGTATTTCTTTCTTTTTCTTTCTTTTTACGATTATTGATACTGGAGTCTAACGGATGATAAGAGAGCGAGAGACACAATAGCCCGAATGCAGACAACAATAAAAACACACTAAAATACAAAAAACAAATGGGTATACAAGGCTAGAGGAGACATAAAACAACCAGAACGTTTCGGGCCAATTACATGCCTATTCTCAACTGGAACAGAAGCTAAAAAATGTAAAAATTAAAACGAGAAAATGAGCATGCAACTGACCGAGGTAGGAATCAGTGCAAACTGAAAAACAGAGCAAAGATGGACAGAGGGGAACTATCACCTCCTTGATAATAGGCCAACCTCTAGGCCTCTATGTCTCCTCTAGCCTTGTATACCCATTTGTTTTTTGTATTTTAGTGTGTTTTTATTGTCTAACGGATGCTGGATAATAATCTTCTTTCCTTCGGTTTTCCAGGGTTTATGTGGGACGTTCAACTTCAACCAAAAAGATGACTTCCTCACTCCCGAGAATGACATCGAAAGTGGTGTCAACCTCTTTTTCCAGAAATGGGCTGTACCTGGATCTTGTGTTCGTGACGTCGATTCGGAGGCATCAAGTCAGGTTTGCACAGCAGAAAAAAATAGGAGAGATATTGCTATTGGTGCCTGCCAAATCATTAAATCTGAGACGTTTTTAGGTGAGATATTACCATAGTTTTCCTCCTTCTCGTTGTAAATTGTCGTGAAAATGTATTGAAATTTCACCTTTGCAAAATTTCCACCCGTAATTTGTACTTCCTCAAGAAACCTTTTTGACATTTCGTCGCCCCTCTGAAGTAAGGGCGTATCTGAATTCCCGCAGGAGCCCCAGAAAGCATGGATCAGGGCCGGATTAAGGGAGTGACCACATGGGCCGCGGCCCATGGCGGCAAAATTAGGGGGTGGCAAATTTTGCAATTTTTTTAAATGCAGGTACAAAAAAATCGGATTCAGAAAAAAAATTACAAACAAGAATAGGTGACAAAATTTCTCGTCTCCTGAGAGTTCATTAATTTCTAATTTTGTCGTATTTCGGTGATACAAAAGACTGCGCACCTTTAAATAGTTGAGTTAAGAGAAAAACCAAACACGTAATTTGGCCTGGAGCGGCGCGGCGCAAAGAAAAATGATGACGAGGACTTGAGATGAAAATGAGAAGCTCTCGACGCGACGGTCGGCAAGTAACACATATAAGCGCCTACGAGACGGCATGCATACTTCACGCATTGCGCCAAACAAAGTGCGGTCAGCGCCGCACGGCGGCGGAAGTTAAAATTATGGTTCACGGACTATATGTCCACTAATTCGTATGTCCACCGCTTTTATGTCCATTTTGAATGTCCAAAAAATGAATGTCCACCACATTTACGGCCACAGTATTTACATACCGCGGTAAGCCCAATATAAGCGAATGTGTGTTCGAAAGGACCTATTGCATGGCAGAAGCTCGGTAACGCTTTTGAAGGTTAATGTTAATAGTCAATTCAGCTGATATGCGTTGCCATAGAAAGTGAAGGACTAGGAGGGAAAGTATTGCTCAAGAAGTATCTAAATTTTCGGCGTAAAATTGGCGTAAAAATGAAGGAGACGAGCTGGATGATTTTCTTGATTACTTCGATAGAAATTATTTACGAGGCGTTGCAAGGAGGAGAAGGATGGTGCCACCTCGCTTTCCTCCAGAACTTTGGAATGTATTTGAGACTGTTAGAGCCGGAGTAATGCGAACCACCAATTCTGTTGAAGGGTGGCATTCTGGTTTTCAGAAAAAAGTCGCCACTCATCACCCAAACATCTGGAAATTCATGGACTTCTTGCGGAAGGACGAGTCAAATAATTCTGGCCTCATAACACAACTGCTTGCAGGGCATTCAAGAATTAAACATCCGATCAAGAAAAAATACGTAACCAATTCGAGAAGAATAGAAGAGATGGTTAGGACCTACGAGACATACAAAAATAATAATCAAATTCGCACATATCTATGAGGTTTAGCCCACCGTATCAAAGTAAATCCCCATGAAATTGTCGAGGACGAAGATGATCTCCGCTGATCTGAGATCTCCGCTGATCTGAGATCTCCGCTGATCTGAAATCTCCGCATACATGTGGTTTTCACCTAGCAATGTAAGTTGGAAAATTTTTTGAGACCCACAAACCTAATCCATTACATCATATTTTCTTCATTGTGTAGGAAATATTTTATATACAATACTGTGGACATATAATACTGTGGCCATAAATGTGGCGGACATAAATTTTTTGGACATTCAAAATGGATATAAAGGCGGTGGACTTATGAATTTAGTGGACATAAAGTCCTGGAACCAAAATTATTAAACCACATTTATGTTTGTTCTTTCTTAATTTTGTAGTTCATTTCTTACAAATGAAAGGCCTTTTCCTCATAGAAATAGGTTTACGGAACTGAACTTTCGCGCAAAGTTCCGTGAACTTTTGCTAGTAGTGTTGACAGGGCTTACGCAAAAAATGTGTCCAACACGAGTGAACGCGTCTTATGCACCCTTCTCCCGCCGGCACGTTCACTTGATGGTTTTTATTGATGTTTCAAAATGAATGAGAAGAGGGCGGCAAAATACAGGCGGCGCGGCCCATGGGCGGCAAGTAGGTATAAATCCGGCCATGGCATGGATTTGTATGCAAAACAGGGCTCACGTGGAAAGTCATATACGCCCTCGCGTCAGAGGAGCGACGATTTGTGACCAAAAGTCTCGCTGATTTTTTCCCCAACTACATGCGGAAAATATATTCAAATTTTTAAACGGAAATTGCACAGTCATATATTTCGGGAAAACTTGTTTTGTTCGGGTCCACTTTGCAACTTGGATATGAAGTTACGTCTGGAAAAAAAAACCTTGTCCTGTGAACGACGAATTCACTAAAAGTTTGACACCACAAAAAAAGAAAAAAAGAAGAAAAAAAGGTTATGCAAATGAGCACTTCCACGTCATACTCTAATCTTTGAAACAGGTGCATTTTATGCGAACACTACGACATGTATCATGTGTAATTCATTACTTTTTTCCATATATAAGTATCAAAACTTACCTTTGATTGGAGTAAACATTTCATTTGCAGAATGCCATAAAGTTGTCGACCCTACTCTTTATTATGAAGACTGTTTATCGGAAGCATGTGGATGTGCTGGAAAGCATAAAGCCTCCTGTTTTTGCGCTGCGGTTGCCGCATATGCGCAGGAGTGTGCAAATCAGAATGTATCAATTTCCTGGAGGTCAACGATGAAAGAGTGTGGTAAGATTCTGTTCAGTTAAATTGTAATGTGTAGAATAAGTTGATCGCAAAATAGGATAAAGTCACCTAATGATTGTCAGGTTTAAATGCATACCCTATTTCAAACCGCAGAGTAAGTTTCTAGGTACGTCTCTTTAGAACATCATAACCTGGTTTAAATAATACTATAATTTAAAGAGAGGAACTCAGTTTTCCATCATCGTCACGGCTTTGCAATTCGAGACACGGATGAGTTGAAGTTGCGACATACGGTGTGGTGTCAAAGCGTAACATTTTCGTGACAAACAAGCGAGAAAACTCAGTTATCCTTCAATTCAGTGGTTATGCAATTTGTGTCATCCAGGAGTTGAAATAGTTGTATTCAGTAGTTGTACATCTCAGAGCGCTCATTACCCAGTCAGTCCGCAATATTTTAAAAACATTTTAAAAATATTTTCATTATTGCTATTAAAATATCCTCTGAAAAATATTGATACAATTTTTTTAAAATAGTTTTAAAAAATATTTTTGAAAAAGTTTTAAATAACATTGCTAAAAAATTTTGAAAATAATTGGAAAATACTTTTAAAAAATAATTTACATAGCAATATTGTAAAAATATTTGATGTAATTATTTATAAAATGAAAGCATAAAAATATTTTTATAATATTGTCACGTAAATAATTTTTAAAAAATATTTTCCAACTATTTTCAAAAATATTTCAAAACTTTTTAAAGTAATATTTTGAAAATATTTTTTCGAAAATATTTTGAAAATAATTCAAAAATATTGTCTGTAAACATTTTTAAAATATTAA